TTCGAAACCGCACCCTAGCCACCATAGATAGATCCGTGGTTTTTCCTACTGTAATTTCACTCTTCTCAACTTGATGTTCTAATTATTTTTATATCTTTAATTTTTAAAATCTTTTTATTTTCTCTTTTTAAATAGATTTTGTGCAGTTGTTTTTACTATGTTAACATTTTTTTCTTTTTTTTTCTTGAGACAACTGACAAGAATTGAAGACAACTATCAACATATAACTACCTTTGTTCTAAATTAATTGAAGTTACAAATTTTTCCTAAGTCAAACTTCTTCAAATTTTACCAAAATAAACCTGCAAAAAGAAATTACCAAAATATAGAATGTTTTGTCAACATCTAAACCACTAAACTAGTTTCATGAGATTCATTAAAATAATTTTTGGTGCACTATATATATTTGATGTTGTAGAAATTAGCACCTTTTTTTTCTTTCTATTATAGACTTTTTCAGATAGAGAAGTGTGACTTAGCCCAAAGCTATAACCTCAAATTAGTCCATTAGGCAAAGTGTGTCTTGCTCAGCGGGACCTCCTATTCGACGCGTTTTGCGTCAAACAGTTCTGCGACGCATAAGGGCACGCGCGACTGGGCTGGCCCATTGGTCGTGTCGCGAGCAGACTACTGTAGCCTACTAAAATAGGCAAAAAGTACTGCATTCAGCTGGATTCGAACACAGGATCTCCTACACATATGCTAGTGTTGCTAGCCAAGTGAGCTGGCGTGGTTTCTCGTTCATATATCAGCGCCAACGTATAAGAACAAACAGCTACCGGCAAATCCGAAATATTTTGAATTTCGAACTCAAACACTTTTTTAGAACGGGAATAGTTTTATAAACTCAGCTACTTTTCAAATCCGTGAATTCTTTTTAGGAAACTCACATTTTCTGAAAACAGTTATTCCCCCTTGAATGTTATTTTCTGGCCCATTGGCAACCGAGAGTTTGCGACTGACCGCTCCTAGCCACTCCAGCTGCCAGCTTTTCTGGTAGTAAAAGAAACTAAAAGAACTTACAATGCCCCTACAACCGGAATGATCTACTATGGCGAGCCAGAATTAGTTACTCTAGTGGACATCTTAAAAAAATAAGCACACATTTTTTCTGAAAGTTTAGATTTTGAAAAGTGTCCGTACAATGCCCGTATGCTTACATTTTTTTTGCATATGTGATCAGAAAAATTGAAATTGCAGAAAATGTTTTTGAAAAACATAAATCATTTTTTGAAGTTGTGAACAAATTATGAAATTCTGAACAAATTTCTAAACAACGAACATTTTTAAATTTTTTGAACAAATATTTTCAAAATTGAACATATCATGAAATGCCAAGAAAAAAAATTGAAACCACGAACATTTTTTGAATTTGTGAACAAAAAAATGAAAAATGGAACATCTCAACAAATATCTAATAAAAATTTGAAACCATGAACATTTTTTGAATTTGTGAACAAAAATATGAAAAATGGAACATTTCAAGAAATATCTAATAAAAATTTGAAACCACGAACATATTTTGAAACTCTTGAACACTTTTCGAATTGCAAACATTTTTTTTCATTTTAGAACAAATTTTGCAACTACGAACATTTTTCTAATTTGTGAACAAAAATTTGAAAAATGGAACAATTTATGAAATATCGAACAAAAATTTGAAGCCGCGAACATTTTTGGTAATTGTGAACATTTTTTAGGAAATGGAACAATTCACGAAATTCCTAACAAAAATTGGAATTGCGAAAATCTTTTGATGAACATTTTTCTAAAATACGAACATTTTTAGAAATTCTGATCAATTTTTGAAATCACGAACATCTTTGGAAATTGGTGAACATTTTCTGAACCATGAGAATTTTTGCAAATTGTGAATTATTTCTATAGAAGGAACATTATTTCGAATTCCTGAACATTTTTGAAATTTTGACCAAATTTTGAAAACAGGAACATTTTTGGAAATTCCTGTGCAACTTTTGAAATTGAAACATTTTGTGAATCTGGAACAAATTTTCAAAGGAGGAACGTTTTTTGAAATCTGAACAAAACTTTAAATTATCGAAAAGCATTTAAAAGGAAAATCTAATTGAAAAGATAAAACAGAAAAAAGAAACATAAAAGAGAAAAAAAGAAACAGAAAAAAAGAAAAACAAGAAAATGGAAAAACTAAAAATAGGAACTTCTAGAAGGTTCCCAAAACCAGTAAAAAACGGCTGGGAATCGTCTAGAAGTTTCCCAAAACCAGAACGTGAAAGCTATACCTACGGTATAGTTGGGCCGGCCCAATCGCTCGCTAGGTCGCCCCGCCTGTGCGATTCCCCGACTACTTGACGCAAAATGCGTCAAATAGGGTTTTCCTTGCTCAGCTGCTCAAGTTCGTTTTCCTGAAGTGTGTTTTGTCCAACCATATGGACCGGATCAGTGGGCCGAGGCGAGCAAAGTTCTTTGGGCCAAGTTGGGGCCCAAACAAACCGATACGGGAAAAGGAGCCCGGACGGGTACGTGATAAATTGAAAAAAAAACTACTATTTTTTTTACCCCTCAAAAAAAAAAAATACTGCTACTTCATTATTGATCGCACGCAATGCAGTACTTTACTGGAACCAACATTGACTGATTTGAGTCCACTCGTCTCCCGTAACATTCCAAGCAAGCTCCAATCCAACAGGATCTGACCAAGACGACCCCCCCTAACCCTAGCCAGTACACACGCAGCGCGGAGCGCGGAGGCGCAGAGGTGGCACCTGGCCTTTAAGCCGGGGCACGCGACGCAGCTGCACGCCTGCACTGCACTGCACTACTGCATGCGCCTGTACTAACCACGCACACACCGGCCCAGAATCAGGGCATGCCCCGCCAGCCATACATCTTTTGGACCAGTTGGCTGGCTTCAAATCAGAATCAGAATTCATCCAGAGCGGTCGATCCATGCATGCCCGTCTGCATTGCAGCCGCAGCCGGCCCCCCCTTGATCGCTCTCGGCTCCCGCTAGCTGCCGCCTGCCCCCGCCATGGATCTCCATTTCCATTTCCCCCCAAGCTACTACTGTGCCGGGCAGGGGCAGGCATTTGTTTTTGTCCGCCCCCGCCCCGCCCCACCGCCGCAGCGGCGACCGGCAGGCCGGTTCGCGGGCCGGGCGCGGCAGTGATTGACAGACAGCTAAGTCACCTCAATAAATTTTAACGCTGTGCTGGTGATCGCCACCAGGTGGGATGATGGGGCGCGGAGCATTACACGACAGTGCGGGAGATGTGCTAGGCCCCAGTCCAGCCCCCGCTAGTGGACAGGTTATTAACAAATCCGCCAGCTTTGGAGGAGAGCGGTTCGGTCTCACGGTCTCACTACCACTCCACTCTACTCCACTTTGGAGTACTTACGTTGGAGTATTTTGAATCTCCTTCTGTAACGGGCCAGCTCAGCTTTGACCGGCTGGCTAGCTCCGTGCATGCATTCACCACCCCGTTCAAAAACGGGCATGCACTTCTGTACCAGCAGCAGCAGCATGCATGCATGTGACGGCAGAGTGTCGATCGAAAGCAAAGGCCTGCCTGGCTTCATTGAACTCAAGGCTGCACGCAGAGATTTTTGTAGACGAGGGAGGGGAGGGATTCAAAGCTGGGGCAGGAGGAGGCGTGGCGGTAGCAGACAAGCATGGGAACAGCTAGCGCACAACCGGCACGTACTACTACTACCACAAGGACCACACCATCCAATCCATCACCATGTGAGAAAAAAATAAATACTGCTACTGCATTTAACTGGCCCCTTCCTCCGATACAAAACATTCAGAGCCACACCTAGACTAGAGACTAGAGACTAGAGACTAGAGAGGAGTTACCTTGACCACTACTACTACATCTACATGCGATGCAATGGAACCACCCGTCGACGACCAGACCAAGAGCTAAAGCAGGAGCAAAAATTCCCTTTTACTACACCGAAATAATAATAATAATAACAAAAAAGGGTAACAAGCAGCAGGCAGTAAAATGAAATGCACATTCATGCATGCATGGCCTCCAGAGCTAGCTACAGCTTCAATTTGCTTGCTGCTTCTCCAATGAAGCGCTGATGGATGTTGGGTTCCTGGCAGATCCATCTTCACCGCGGGTAGGTGATGGACGTGAAGCTGAAAGGCAAATCACCACCCAATCACACAAACTAGTTGCCTAACCATGCCCCCGTCTCGTTTGGTGAATGAGCGCTCGCTGCTTCACTCTCTCGTGCCTCCGTGACCTCCAAGATCCTGAAAAATGTTGCACGCATTTGCTGTCACTAAAACCGGAAAGGAACGCAGGTGATACTATGTGCCGCTAAAACTCTGTGCAAGATGCATGGCTGGTGTGGTGTGGTGAACACGTTCGTTCTGTTGCCAAGTACACATGCCTAGAATATGCGATGCATATATCCGGCTCCAGACTTTGAGAAATCCGGCCCTGGGTGCAGGGGAAATGTACTCTAGATTGTACTACGGCGCCGCAAGAGAGCTAGGCTCTTGCAGTTGCAGGTGGCTCTGAAGATTCGGAAAATGTCAATGCGACGGGCAGATGGGACAATGCATACCACTATTGTAGAGCGTACGATGCAGTGTACTACTGAAACTACTACGAGCTGGGTGCTTAAGATAAGCTATAAGATTAATTACCGTGTGGGCCTCGGCCGACGACGTGCTGGCGCCGGCGTCGGCGGCTGCGGCCGCGGCCTTCTTGTTCGCCTTCTTGAAGCCGAGCAGCTCCTTCCACCGGATGTTGGGCGCGCGGGGCGCGCGCCCGTGGCGGTCGTCGGTGCGCAGCTCCTCGCGCAGCGTCGTGGGCCGGCCGCTCTGGCCGTGCGGGGCCTCCCGGAGCGGCAGGAGGCGGCCCTTGGAGAAGAGCTCGTCGGCGGCCATCATGGGGCGGCTGCCGACGGAGAACTCGAAGTCGGCGTCCCCGGGCCCGCGCGCCGACGGCGCCGACGCGGGCGGCGGCTCCAGCGCGAAGTCGCTGGAGAAGGACATCCGCGGCGCCATGAAGGACGACTGGTGGTGCTCCGGGTTGTACATGTTAACACATGCCATGCATTGTCCTCACGCGCCCCCACTGGCCGGCCAACTCCCCCTCCCCGCGCGCCGGCAGGCCGCCGCAGGCAGAGTAGCTCGCCTGAGTGCCTCTAGGAGAGGAGCAGTGGCAGCTGGGACTCTCTTGCTAGCTAGCTACTCGCGGAGTGGAGTGTAGTGGGGGTGGAGGTCGTGTGTGGGGTGGGTGGGTGGCCAATGGATGTACTTGGCGCTGGTGCGTTGCGAGGTGAGTGATGAGTGGTGCGTGGGGCTGGGAGTTATATAGCAGGATGGGGAGGCTGGCCGCGGCCGGGAGACTGATGAGCGAGCGAGGATCGGAATTCGGAAGCGATGGTGTATGTATGTATGCGCAAGTGGAAACTGCGCGTGTGCATGGGACGGACGGATGGATGGACGCGGATGGCTACGTGAGAGAGGCTCCTAATAAATGTGGCGCGTATGTTTCCGGCCTGCAGTTCCAGGGACGTGACGAGGCTCACAGTGCATGGGCGATGCGTACGCTTCATTGGAGGGGTGCTGCCGTGCTGTGCTGGGGGCGAAATGGGGGTGTTTTATGAGTCGTTAGACATTTGTCGCTCGATGCAGGAACAGTGTCGGATAAATGGATATTTCTGCTGTATGACTTTACTGTACTATAAGTTAGAGTAGTAGGAGTACATGTTTTGACCACTTGATCCACGGTTAAGCACATACACCCAAACCCCGCAAAAAGAAATGAACATGCATCCGGAGGACGTTCTCGAAACATGGTTTCGCTCCATTTTATATGTGAAGCAACCATCAAAGAAAGTACACGGTTGAACAATAGAAGATGGTAAGGCGACCCTCTTACAAAGCCGATTCTAAGATAACTAGATCACGCAGAACACGTGTGACTACGCTACCGGAAAAAAACATAGGAAGGTCTAAGCATACCTCCACACTACGACCTAGAACACCTAAGCTCTACGACAACGCCCCCAAAAGGGAGAACAACACTGAGCGTCACCGTTGTCGAGTTCAAAATGGACAAAGGTCTTCACCCGGAGCCTTGACACGTAGAGAAGAATCACGGAGGCGTCTTCAGGAAGAGCACGACACCCACAAAGCGTCGATGTCGTCGGCGCCGAGGCGCAGAGCTTTCGCTCAGTAGCTCATTCGTGCCACCACGAGGCCTATAGGGCAAACAACACAGGGCCAGATCCCCAAATCAGGATCAGGGTGTCACTCCAGGGAGCACGCCCGAGCCACCCACCGGCACACCTCCCGTCGCCCATACAACCCAGTAGCAGAGCCACCATCGCCGCTATCGTACTAGACCTTTCTGTCACTGGTGTTGAGAATAATGTTCCACATCTTCTCGCTTCTTACCTCCTCCTTGATCAATTTACGAGATCGTGGGTACCTGCAAGGCCTTAGAATGAGAAGAAGACAAAAGACAACTCTATGGAAATTCATACAAATAACGTCAATTACACGAAGTTAATTCTGACATTCCATGCACAAATACATAGGGTTGCAAGGCCTTGCTTCAACCAATTGTATTGTTCAATTATTCACACATGGCGATCAGATCGCAGCATGAACTCATTGAAGACGACATAAAGATGAATGATTGATTGATAATATGTCTTAGAATAGTTGCAGGACGCGATACACCGACTACAAGTATGACTAACTAGGAGAGAATGGTTGCGGTGATGAAGGTGGCGGAGGCTATGGAGGTGGCATGGGAGACGGCGACTAGGGTGTGAAGATTGTTTCTGGTTCTCCATTTCATGAATGGTACCCCCTCTGTTGATATTATGGCATCAACCCCTATATAGAAGTTAATCAGGTGGACGACATGATGCTCACATCGGCCGATACGTACGATAGTACGAGCGGACATCGCTGGCGTGCTCGTACCGAGCACCGTCTTGCACTCTAGCTGACTCCCTGCACCTCCTGTTGACTTGCCTCTTCCACCAAACTTTGTATTACCTTCCATATGATGATATCCTTTCATGTTTAGGCCTTTTCTGTGGAAACACATTAAACAACAGACTTTGGGATCTCTTGCATTCATTAGTCCTTAGAGGTACTATCGGAGTAAGTACCTCAGAAATTCCTGAATTAAAGGGTTTAAACAACGGTGGGATGAGCATAGAAATATCACTCATGGATAGCTTGTGATGATGGGGAACGGAGCAGGAAAATCAAAAAAAATTCTAGGAACACCCAAGATCTAATTTAGGAGATGTATAGTAACAAGAGGGGAGTGTGTCTACATACCCTTGTAGACCAAAAATTTTAGTGTCGTAACACGGTTGATGTAGTTGTACTCTTCACGATCCAATTGTGATCCAATCCGATCTAGTGCCAAACGGACGGCACCTCCGAGTTTAGCACACGTACGGCTCAGCGGCGTCCTCTCCTTCTTGATCCAGTAAGGGAGGGAGAGAAGGTAGATGAGACCTGAACCAACACGAGAGCGTGGTGGTGGTGGTGGCAGCGGAACTCGGGCAGGGCTTCGCCAAGCGCTGACGGAACATGGAGGAGGAGTAACGGGAGGGAGACGGGGCAAGCACGAAAGGGCTAGCTGCCCCCTGCGCCTTCCCACTATATATAGGGGTGAGGGAGGGGCGTGGCAGCCCTAGGCCCCCTCCCAAGGCAGGGGGCGGCCAAGGGGGGAGGAGTGCCCTCCAAGCCAAGTGGAGGCCCTCCCCCTTAGGGTTTCCCCTCTCCCATGCGCATGTGCCTTGTAGGGGCTGGTGCCCCTAGCACATTAAGGTTAGAGTGCCCCCCCTACAACCCATGCTACTGTATGGGATGTGATGGTACCCTACGATGGCTTACGGACCCCTCCAGAACCCTCTGGAACCTTCCTGTGGCTTCCCGGTACAATACCGAAAAACCAGACTTTTTCCTGGAACCCCAACAACAACTTTCCAAATATAAATCTTTACCTCTGGACTATTCCGAAGCTCCTCGTGGCATCCTGGATCCCATCCGGGACTCTGTACAACCTTCAGAATTTCCACTATTAATATCTCAATACTACCCTAGCGCAACCGAACTTTAAGCGTGCGACCCTACAGGTTCGGAACATGCAGACATGACCGAGACTCCTCTCTGTTCAATAACCAATGGCGGAGCCTGGATGCCCATATTGGTTCCTACATATTCAATGAAGATCTTTATTAGTTGAAGCATGACGTCAAGGATTTAGTCAATCCCATATGTAATTCCCTTTATCCGGCGATATGTTACTTGTCCGAGATTCGATCCTTGGTATCTCCATACCTAGTTCAATCTCGTTACTGACAAGTCTCTTTACTCGTTCCGTAATACAAGATTTTGTGACTAAACTCATTAGTCACATGAATCTTCTTATGATGTTGTATTACAAAGAGGGCCCAAAGATATCTCTCCGTCACACGGAGCGACAAATCCCAGTCTTGATCCATGCAACCCAACAGACACCTTCGGAGATACCTGTAGGGCACCTTTATGATCACCTAGTTACAAAGTGATGTTTGATAGCACAAAAAGCAGTCCTCCGGTATTCGGGAGTGGCATGATCTCATGGTCTATGGAACTGATACTTGACATGAAGAAAGCTATAGCAAATAACTAAACGATCTGATGCTAAGCTTACAGTTGGGTCTGTCCATCACATCATTCTCCTAATGATGTGATCCCGTTATACTACTTGTCCATGGTTAGGAAACCATAACCATCTTTGATCAACGAGCTAGTATAGTAGAGGCTTACTAGGGACACGGTGTAGTTTATGTATTCATACATATATTTAAGTTTCCAATCAATACAATTCTAGCATGAATAATAAACATTTATCATGAACGGGAAATATGATAATAACCATTTTATAATTGCCTTTAGGGCATATTTCCAATAGTGTCAATAATTTAGTTCACATCTCTATGTGATCAACCCCCAATGAGTTCCGGTGCTTGATTATGTTTTGCTTGTGAGAGAGGTTTTAGTCAATGAGTCTGCAACATTCAGATCCCTATGTAATTTGCAAATCTCTATGTCATACTGTAGATGCAATTACCACACCCACTTGGAGCTGTTCCAAATGACCGGTCCACTCTATGTATCCAGTTTGCGACACAAAGTCATCTGGATCGGTGTCAAAGCTCGAATCGACGTAACCCTTTATGCCGAACTCTTTATCACCTCCATAATCGAGAAACATTTCCTTAGTCCTCTTTAGGAACCAAAGGATAATTTTGCCTGTTGTCCAGTGATCCACTCCTGGATCACTTTGTACCCCCTTGCCAAACTCATGGCAAGGCACACATCAGGTTTGGTACACAGCATGTCATACATTATAGAGCCTATGGCTAAAGCATATGGGACGACTTTCATCCTTTCTCTTTCTTCTGCCGTGGTCGATCCTTGAGTTGTAGCGACCAGACCTCAAATGGTCAAGTCTCTGTGCATCAGTGTCATCCCTAGATCGGTAATGCTGACACGCACAATACTCGAGGAATTATAACAGAGTTTCAATCACACACTTATTACATCGAGTCCTCAATAAGAGTATGTTTACACAAAAATATCATGGCTGAAGGCCATCTAAACTAAATAACTGTGGAAGCTTCGAAGGTAAATGAGTCCATCAACTCCAACGGCATAGCTGAGTGCAAAACAATGACCTATCGCACCTTATTCGCCGTCTGAGTAGTCTGCAACATGAGACGTTGCAGCCATGTAGGTCAGCACATTTGAAAATGCTGGCAAAGTTACAGTGTAAAGCAATGAAATGCAAGAACTATATCTACATGCAATATTTGGCTGGTGGAGGCTGTAAGTTTATGATTTTGCATAAAGCTAGTTTTTCCCTACAACAAAGGAATAAATTTATTTAACTACTCCCAAGTTACCCATATTTGAGAAGGTAACCCCAACTCAAATCCCAATTAAAAGTATCATTGTTAACCCAATTCAAATTAATGAAAGTAACGTGATGAGATCACATCAATAGATTCAAGTACGAGATACTCAAGATG